GTAGAGGACAGAAGTCAGGCCCACACTGGCAGCACCATGCTACCCTCCCTTATACTAGTAGAGGACAGAAGTCAGGCCCACACTGGCAGCACCATGCTACCCTCCCTTATACTTTCTAGTCACTCTTCCTGGTATCCACATCATTACTAAAATAATGAGATTCCAAACACTCACCATGTCCTGGGGTCCAAGAGGTATCATGTCAAACCCTGACACATAGAAGAACAATGCTGGTGAGAATTTTTACAATTCTGTAATGTCACTGGCTTCCATGTATCTAAGCCCATTCTCATCACCATGGTAACCTCTGGCATCAGAGTAAGAGGCGAGGCTGCCTTGTCCAGGGTCATTTCTCATCCTGGACTATCCTGGCATGTACACTGTTCTTGGTGTCTTTGGCTCAAGCTTGGAGGACTCCAGGTTTTCATTCTTATTTCAATGGTAAGGAATTGCTATTTCTGCATGGATGGTCTCTGGGTGTAAGCCACATGACTCCCAGGTGTACCTTGTCACTCAAGAGTTGTGTGAGAAGCCAGTGGCCACACTGCAAATTAAGGCTCAGGAGTGGTGCAGCTGGGCCAGGGGGATTGGCTGTGTATATCAGGAAATTACCAACGGACCCAACAGCCCACCAAGGAGCAATACAAGAGTCATGTGCACAAGCAAGGACTCCCAGGATTCCCTGCCTGTGTTGAGGTGCCATGATATGGCACCTTCATGTAGATTTCTCTGACTTCTTTTTGTGTTTTCAGTGTTTTTTTTTGTAACAAAATCTCAGTTAATATCGCCTCATATACGTATTTGTTGCGGTGGTTAAATAACAGAATAAAAGCAACCCAAAGGGGGAGGGATTAATTTTGGCTCACAGTTTGGGAGATTATAGTCCATTGCTGTAGGGAAGGATGGGTCTGGGGCTCTATTTGATGCACTGGGCACCAGTGCTATGACTTGTTAGAGCTCAGCAGATCAGGAAGCAGGGAATTTAGTTGGAGCCAGACTACAGCTAGGCTGTAATCCACACAAACCATCCTCTAGTCTCCCACTTCCTCTAGCTGGGAGACCAACTTCCAAAAACCCCACAACTTCCCCAATTGGCACCATTGACTGAGCACCTGTGTGAAATCACACGTGGGACGCTTCACACTGAAACCACAACACCACGCTTTCCAATCATTGCAGCGACAGTGATTTATTGTCACTTACGGTGTGAGGCTCTTTCTCTTTTATCTCACTGAATCCTCACCATCTGATATGATGGACATTTCATCTCCAGCTTACCTTCAGAGGGGCGGAGGTCAGGAGGCTAAATTAGTCACATAAGGTTGAAAGCTCACCTTAGGCAGCACCCAAGGCAGATGAGAAGCTGGAGTATGCTGGTAAATTCTTAACAACCAGCTCTCCCCCAGGTAGAGTAAGGGGACAAGCCCTGGTAGCCAGCAGTTTCCATTCTCTGAAGAGTAGGTACACCCGTTGTTGATTATATCTAAGGCAGCTTGCAAAACTTCTGAAATTTTTTGCAGTTGATTCCCAGACTACAAGCTGACTCCTGAATGCTCTAATGTGCTCAAATCTTACAGCATAGCCCGAGGTCTTTAAAGCTCGTGGGCCCAGAGCTAAGTGTCTAAATTATCAAGATGAGAGAGGAATGCATCTCGACACAAGAGAAGAGGCGTGATGAGTAGCAGAGTCTGTGGTCTTGATGGTTCATAACCTTTGAAAGGCTTCAGTTTCCTCACTTTCAAGATGGGGAAAACACCCCACCTCTCCTGTGCTCTAGGAGGCACAGGCCAATTGAGATCCAGGGAATGACAGCCCTTTGGAAATTCTAAGGTGTCATGCTATGTACAATTTACACTTCCTTATTCGAAAGCCTGTGCATTTGCTGGTGATTTATATGCATGGAATTG